GCAGATATTAATTGTTACAACATTTAACACCTTAACAAAACCATGTATATTCAAGCAGATATTAATTGTTACAACATTTAACACCTTAACAAAACCATGTATATTCAAGCAGATATTTAGACTAGAATACAAGCTAATCATCATATATTTGATAACTCTGTTAATTAATATCATAACAGCTTACGATAGTTAAAGTCACAGTTGGTATTTTATTCACTTCCTGTTTTTAAGTTAACAGCTGATTTCATGTAACAAAAACAAGTTGTAACGTTTATTCTTCACTAAAAAAAAAAACGCAACAACCGACGTGAGTGAAAATAGAAATATTTCTAAGGTTTTATATGTTTCAATTTTGTTGTTGTTGTTGCTGTTTTGCGCAAACAAAAAAATATCAACATTTTAACATAATAGACTCAACGGTTGGGAAGTTTCACTCGAAGACGTTTTGTTGTTGTTTTTTTCATACAAGCTTTAACCTAATCAGCTTCGTTTTCTTTTTCTGATGTCCACGGGAACCCACCAGAGCCCTCGCTAGAGCTGGACTCTTCCTCCAAAGAAAGAGTGGAAGAAGAACCCGAATCTATTGACAAGTTACCGCGTAGACTCCATCTTCTGTTCGTTACCAAGTTTCTTTGAAATAACTTTGAAGTGCTACACCCTGGCGTCGGTGATTCAATTCTTAGACACGAGAGACGTCTTTCAATTTCCTCGAGCTCTCCCATATTTAACCTGAGGTGATAATCGCTATGAGCTTCGGTGAGTTCTCTTAAGTTCGGTAATTTCAAAAACAGTTTAGGGTAGAGAACCATTGCCTTTCTGGAGCCGTACCTCCACAACATATAATTCTTCAGCAAGACGCAATATTTCTCTTGTTCCTTAGCAACCAGACTTACGTTCACCAATCCAGCTCTGTCTGAAGACATTAGAACGGTTACGAGCAAAATCATGAGTGTTGGTTCGTCGATGTCTATTTCTTTAATCCCGCGGATAAATCCCATGTGTTTATCGAATAGCTCGGCTGACACCAGACGCCTCACGTCTTCCGCTGAAAGAGTGGGCGAAATTTTGTAGAACATTTTCTCCTGATCAGGCCAGGCGCCTCGAGTTTCGTCAAACACGTAAGCACCGCGTAAAAAGCACAATTCCATAACGCCTGTGCGTAGTAAAATCTCCTGATCGTGAGGAGGTATAACGGCGAACGAACGAAGCTGTTGAGCAAAGTTTGCGAATTGTTTGATAACCGTAAAGAACATATCAATGATTTCAGTCCGATTTCGTCCGCACGCTCGACTGGACAAGCTACTATCGAAAGGAACCGACAGACAGCTAGTTCCGTACGAGTTCATTATCGACTCGATGCAATGGATGTCGTCTTCGGTTAAAAACTTATGAATATCGTTGAGGTCTGCGTGATAGCTTTCTCGACGAATCTTCCGACGTCCTTGGTTCGTTTCTTCTTCTTGTTGTCGTTTAGCGGTGCGTATTTTGAGCACGTGGAGACGTTCCTCCTCTGTCATGACCCAGCCCTTCTCCATTCCAATATTGACACATTTTTGGAACCGACAAAACTGGCAGCACTTTCTGGAGCTGATGGTGATTTCACAGGTTCGTCGGTAGGGACACTGGAAGTTCTTGTAGCCCGCGCTTTGGACTGATCGTCGGAAGAAGGCCTTACAGCTGTCACAGGATAGGCCACCGAAGTGATAACTTTTGGCTCGGTCTCCGCATACTCTGCAGAACTTGGGCTGCTTTGCCGGTATGAAACTTGGGTCACTTGGGTCATTGAATGTGACACAGCCATTGTAAGGAAGGTTCATTACTAAGAAAACAAGAAACAAAATATTAACAATGGTTGAAATTAGAATGCACTGATGAAATGTTTTCAAATAATAAAATTGAAAAGCATTATTCGCGTTAATTTAGAAAGCTAATAGAAGCAGGTGCTCGACAATTGTTCTACAAAGAAAGAAAGATTGGGTAAACAAAGGTAATGTTTTGTTGTTTTTCTCGTGAATCTTCGAAACAAGACACGAAAAAATTATTCTCACTATATATCTTATAGAGAAAACAAATACACATTTAAACTATACCACAGCCAGAGAGTGACTTATATTAAGCTATAACACAGCCAGACAGTGACTTATCTTAAGCTATACCACAGCCAGACAGTTGTGACTTATATTAAGCTATACCCCAGTCAGAAAGTGACTTATATTAAGCTATACCCCAGTCAGACAGTGACTTATCTTAAGCTATACCCCAGCCAGACAGTGACTTATATTAAGCTATACCACAGCCAGACAGTGACTTATCTTAAGCTATACCACAGCCAGACAGTGACTTATATTAAGCTATACCCCAGTCA